GGCGAAACGAGACGGCTAATCTGCGGCAACGAACCACGAAACGAAATCGACCTGCAACCAGACACGTCTTTCGAGAAAGCGCGGGTGCTATGCCTCTGTGTTTACTACTTAAAGAACGTAACATACCCACCAGCATTTGGGCAGCTGCTTGGTTTTGCACAGACAGTAGTGAAACCAGCAAGCAGGTCTGAGGTAGCGTGGGGCCAGAAAAAACTGCGTGATCTTCTTTCAAAGTTGCATATTATTTGAAAGCAAAAATAAACTTCTCTCGCGGAAGGTTTTTTTTTTTTTTTTTTTCATACTCGTTTTTAAGGAATGGTTGGAGGTGAGTTATGTACATCAAAATATTAATAGCTCTAGTCAAGTGAACGAAAGTGCCCTTCAAAAAATAAAAAAATCTAAGATATGTAGAAAAAAATGGCCAGTGCCACGTGGTCGAATGCGCCAAAACTAAATCTCATTACGCCAATTAAATTTTTTTTAGCAAATGTTAAAGGGGCGGTGCAACGATTTTATGATTAAAAGAATTTGCATCTCGTCATTTTTACGTTGTTTATCGTGTCATGGAGGATAGAAAAAACATCTCCTTCATTAAAAGTGTCGCGATCCCGCTGCATAATCGCAAAGCAAAAGTCGAGCTTTTTCCCCCACCTACAGCCCCAAGTGGCAGCCGAAGGAACTACGGCGGAAAGATTACGTGACCTCGCTCGGCTCTAAGCTGCAGCATAGCGCCCGCTAATGTACGCAGAGAGAGGGAGGGGTAGCGTCCTCCGAGATAGCACACGGGAAGCTACACGGCACTCCGAATAACGTCACTGGGAGTGCGACCAGGTGTGACCCTGAAGACTGGGAGTGAGTTGAGGGGTGCCCGAAATACCAATCTTTATCTTTTTTTTTTACGCAAAAAATAGGACAGGCAGGCGAAATCGGTTTTCTGTTCTTTACTTCAGAAGCGTCAGGGGGCAACTTCCAGAAATCTTCGACCGAAGTCCGAAAATCGTTGCACCGCCCCTTTAACGTTCCTAACAAAGTCAACACTTTGCTCAATTGAACTCATTTAATTTTTATGCCAGTTTTACCTTTGTTAGCGAAGTGTTGACGTTGTTTAATCTGGTTGTGTTCTGTTATGAACCATTTTAGAAGGAAAGACCTTCTTCCTATTCTGTGGTTAATTTCTTTTACAAAATCGCAGACTTGCCACCAAGCATAATTTTCTAATATACCAATCGTTATAGAAAATGAACCGCAAAGAAGTATGACATGACAAAATTATCACTGTGTAGCTGAAAAGAATATGGTAACCAATTATATATTGATATTATTTTTAACATTTACTGAAAAAATATATCCTGATACCCGCTAAAAATTCAAAATATTGGCATTCGTTCATAGTTGTTTCATGATACTCATAGTTGTTGCAGTTCTTAGCAGTTAGCAGGCTTTATACTTTTTAACGGCTTATTTGTACAAACAAAAATAGATTTTTAATAAAGCGTTTAGCCCCGAAGCTGAAATTTGTTTGCCTTTTTCTATTTAGTTCCTTTTGGACTATTCCTTCCTGCAACTGGAGCCTAACGAGATCTCTTTCTCTTTCTTTCTCTTTGGGTTCTTAGACGCCAAAGATAAATTTCCTTAAATGTTTATACAACTTGTACTGTTATGAACAGCTTGCAGCTAATTATCGCAATGTACCAGGCGTAACATGCATTTTCTACTCGACACATTGGGACAATTTACTTTGATTCAGAACTGCCATTCGTATATGTGCGTAAGTATACATGAAGCAGCATGTTATCTTCCTTGTACTACCTAATTCGCCTAAAGGAGTAACTAGAGAGATTTAGTAGATTGTTTTGGAATTCCTATAACGATATCCGATAACAATATGACTCATAGGGGCTCGTGTATTCATACGCTTATTACGGCGTGAGTTTTCTCTTAAATAATGACGCCTTCCAGGCACGTGAAATGTGCGTGGTGGTTGAAACCTCTGGCCATTGACATTGGGATTTCTTGTATTTACTATATCGTCCCAATAATCTTAGTTATTGGGACGACATACTGAATGCAGGAAAGCCCAATGCCCACGGCCAGAGGTCTCCACCGCGACGCGCATTTCACACGCCTAGGAGGTGCCATTATCTAAGCGTGGAGAAAACGCACGCCGTAATAAGCGGCAAAACACAAGGGCCCCCTCACGCCAGCCAAGCGTTAAACCATAGCACAGTTCACGCTGAGGGAGCGTGAACTCTAAGCGTTAAAAACACCACGCTTAGAACAAGCGTGTAAAAAATCCCCTTGCGTCACGCCTGGAAGCCTTAAACCTATGCACAGTTGACGCTTAGGGAGCGTGAATTCTAAGCGTTGAAAAACACCACGCTTAGAACAAGCGTGCAAAAATCGCTTTGCGTCACGCCTGCAAGTGGTAAACCTATGCACAGTTCACGCTGAGGGAGCTGTTGCAACCGGGCGATGAGGAAGAAGAGAAGCGGCGGGAGCTCATGCATTTTGTAATTTTTAGCAGTCTGAAAAACGAACAGTAAAGGAAAAGGTCGCACCGACCGATTTGTCTAGCGTAATTGCCTTCGTATTCCTTGGTTCCTCAACATATGGTGCCGAAACCCGGGAGTGTCCCGCATTACAAGGGCCCAAGCTACACGCCGCAGGGAATTTCAATCCTGCAGCTGCAACGGAATTCAGCAGTTCTTTGGCGGGAGCAGACCACTGGGAAAAGAACAGCGACGGAACCTTGGCAGGCGACCATACGGCCTCGTAAATACGAATAGCCAATGGAAAGGCTGAAGGCTAGGCGGTCGGCTCGGCGGGCACAGAACACTAGGATAATGAACGACGCCAATCGAATTCTACAGGATCCCAGTCCCGACCTAGCAAGCGTGCGTTCGATCAAGGACAGACTCACTACCAGCAATGCAGAGCTCCGACTACTTGACGGTGAGATAGAGCCGCTAATTCCAATCCAAGAACTGGCAAGTGAGTGCACCGCCACTGCAGAATACCAAGACGAAGCCGTCATGGTGATCTGCGAGTTGGAGACCAAGATTGAATCCCTACAATCGCAGAGAATAATAGCTTCGGCGGCGAGCACCGGAAACCAAACCGGCATTCAAGACAACGCAGGGAGACGTGGACCAAAGCTTCCGAAGCTGGAGCTATCTGCCTTCGATGGAGAGCTAAGCAACTGGCTCACATTCTGGGAGCAGTTTGGTGGAGCCATCCATACCAATGCAACCTTAACAACCACAGATAAGTTCCACTACCTTCGTCGGTGTCTAACGGGAGGTGCTGCTGCGGCGATTGCCGGGCTACCAACAACAGAAATATGCTATGCCGAAGCGATCACCATCTTGCAACAGAGGTTTGGAGACCAGAGGAGAATAGAACGGCAGCATCTGAATGCCTTCAGAAATCTACCGCACGTTGCTTCAGCTAATGACGTCAGAGGGTTGAGAAACCTGTATGACACCACGCAACTCAACGTTCGGTGTCTAAACTCTTTGAATGTTCCCACGTCAAGTTTTTCAGCCATGCTCTGTGACATTCTTGTCAGGGCGTTGCCTTACGAGGTTACAGTGGAGTATCACCGGCAAGTCAACAACACCGCTTTCACTAACGCAGCGGCTCAAGACCAAGGAGACGGATCGGCGGCTGGAACTTCAAGGTCAGCGGATACTACGTCGGAGTCAGTGACCGAATTGAATGGAATGCTTCGCTTTCTGCGCGTGGAAGTAGAAAGCCGAGAAAGAAGTAGCCTTGAGGATGCTCGAGGTAAACAGGAGACAAAGGTAAAGTCGTTTGCATCAGCATCAGCTCTTCATAACGCAACAAATGCTACACATTCTCAGTGTTTTTTCTGCCATTCAAAGAAGCACACCACGCCATCTTGTGATTGCAGCAAACAGAGAGAGGAAAAACTAAGTTTGTTATCAACAGACTCCAGATGCTTCCGATGCACATTGAAAGGTCACCGAGCACGAGATTGCAGAAAAAACCTCAGTTGCGGAGTTTGCAGAGCCAGACATGCAACCACAATGTGCGATCCTGAGTTTGTTAGGCGGATGAAGGAACGTTCGCCCCAAGGTAGCGATACGATTTGCGTGTCTGCATCCAGCTCGGGCGCGCGCTCAGAAAAGAAGTTTAGTGACGGCATATATCTCCAGACGTTCAAGGCATTTTAGTGACCAACGCTGGCAGCTGCTATGTCAAGGGAATAATCGACGGTGGCAGCCAGCGCACGTTTATAAAAGAAAAGGTAGCGCAACGCCTAGGGCTGAAAGTCCTGCGGAGAACAAAGATAGCACTCAACACTTTCGCCAGTAATGCTTCGAAGGTTATAGAGCGCAGTCCCGTTGTGGGGGTAAAGCTCAAAAGTCAATTTGACAATACAGAAATAACCTTTGAAGCAATTTCCATCCCGGTCATTTGCCAGGACGTATCTTCGCCAACAACTGACATCCCGTTTGTGCGATTTCTGCGAGAAAGCAGTAAGAATTTGGCAGACGACGTGATTTTCCCAGGTGTAAAAGCAGTTCCTGGAATAAGTCTGTTGATTGGATCCGACCAGTTGTGGAAGTTCTGCACAGGAGACGTGATCAGGTGCGCAGATGTGGACGGATTGGTAGCGATCAACACAAAGATGGGCTGGACGCTGCAAGGTCCTTCAAGACAGGTGGGAAGGCTGCTATGGGATTCAAGTCTGATGATACGTGTCCTACAAGCGAAGACAAAGGAAACCCAAGTGGAAGAGGCGCTACAGTCCTTCTGGGAGTTAGACAGAATGGGAGTTGCCAACAGTGAGCTCGGAGACACTGTTGCAGACACCATTACACACTTTGAGCAAAACATCATTAAGAAAAAGGGACTATACGAAGTGGCTCTGCCGTGGAAAGAAGACGCTGTTGATATGCTGGCAAACAACTGGGAAGTTGCCATTTTACGTCTAGGGAGCTTGTTGAGAAGAATTTCACGAAGGGAGGGATTACTCAAGCGGTATGATCATGCAATGAGACAGTATTTGCGTGATGGGCATGCAGAAGTGATAAAGAGCAGAAAGGAAAGCGACAGCGCGCAGGTCATGTATTACATGCCGCATAAAGAAGTAATACGTGAAGATGCAACAACAACAAAGTTAAGGATCGTCTTCGACGCATCTTCTCATGCCAAAGGGTGCAGGTCGTTGAATGAGTGCCTAGTAACAGGACCCAACTTGAACCCCGAGCTTCTGCAGGTTCTGCTTCGGTTTAGATGGTACTCAGTCGCAATGACCGCCGACATTGAGAAAGCGTTTTTACAAATTGCCATCCGTGAAGATGATCGTGATGCCTGTAGATTTCTTTGGTTTGCTGAGGAGCCAAGTTTCCCTTTCAACAAGGAAGAAATTCAAGAGTGGAGGATGACTCGGGTTCCTTTCGGATCCACGTCTAGTCCATTCATGCTCACAGCTACAATACAACATCACTTGAAGTTGGTCTGCGAAGAAGACCCACAATTAGCAGAGAAACTCAGGACATCTTTCTACGTTGATGATCTACTGCTCGGAGCCGACGATATTGAGGATGCCGTGAGGCTCTACCACACTACCAGGAACGTCATGAGACAGGCAGGAATGACACTCCGGAAATGGACTGCGAACAATGAGCAACTGCATGAGCAGTTCAACAAGGAGGAGCCAAAATTTATGACCGAAGAAAAAAGCCTCTCACCTTCACCAATCTCCAAGGTACTTGGAATGATGTGGGATCACGAAGGGGACTGCTTTATTTACAAAGTTGAAGCTTTGCTTGAATTCCTCTCAGCAAATGTGGACACTAAACGGTTCATCCTCAAGGCAGCCTCAAGAGTATTCGATCCTCTTGGATTGATTGCGCCCTTCGTCCTAACAGCTAAGCTGCTATTTCAGAAGCTGTGGACATTGGGAATCAGCTGGGATGAAGAACTACCCGCTGATTTGATCACTGAATGGCACGCTTGGACGGCGGACCTTGTTCAACTGCACTCGTTAAGTATACCAAGACATGTCAAGCGAGGCATCCAGGCAGGAGCCAACCAAGTACAGCTGCACGTCTTCGTAGATGCAAGCACGAAAGCCTACGGATCTTGTGCGTACTTTAGAACAGCCGATGACCAAGGAAAAACAGCTACCATGTTAGTTGTTGCGAAGACAAGAGTGGCACCGATAAAAACCTTTATCACTGCCTAGGTTGGAGCTGATGGGGGCGAATATTGGAGCCAGACTCCTACGATACATAAAACAGTCATATTATGACGTGGAACTTGATTACATTATGTGGACTGACTCAACGGTTGCCCTCAGTTGGGTGAGAGGAGTCCCTGAAAAATGGAAGCCATTTGTAAAAAACGGGGTGGCAGATCTACGCGTCATGACATTCCCGGACCACTGGAGGCACTGCCCCGGTAAAGAGAATCCGGCGGATCTCTTGACCAGAGGACTAGGCGTTCAGGAGCTTCGTGGTAACTCTCTTTGGTGGAAAGGGCCGAGTTGGCTCAGTCAAGAACCTTCAGAATGGCCTGAATCTTCAGTGTTCTTGGAAGACACGCCTCAACTCGAAGTAAAAGAAGAGACACATGTGCTGTTGGAGAAAGGCCAAGAAGTTCCATCATTGTTCGACACGGGAAGTTACGAGAATTACCAGAAGGTTCTGAGTATCACTGCCTGGGTCATCAGGTTCGCTAACAACGCTCAGAAGAGAAATGACAAAATACGAGGTGGATTAATCGCGGCAGAGTTGGACAAAGCAGAGCAATATTGGATCAGGCAGATACAAAACGAAAGGTTTCAGACAGATATTATGCTCCGCGAGAAAAATACGACGGAGGTTAATGTAAGACTCGCAGAGTATCATCCTTTCTTTGACAAAAACAAAATCCTGCGGGTCGGAGGACGACTGCAGAGGTTGACGGAAAGTCTCGATGTGAAACATCCAGTCCTATTACCGAACGACCATGACTTTGTCAAGCTAATTGTGATGCACGCTCTTTGTAAGGTTATGCACGGTTGAGTAACAAGCACAATGTGTTACCTACGAGAGAGGTACTGGATAATACGTGCTAGGCAGCTGACCAAGAAGGTAATAAAAAGTTGCCTCGTATGTTCACGGTTGAATGCGAGGCCAACTGCTGTTGAGCAAGCTCCGCTACCGACAGATCGAATCAAGAAGGCAAAGCCGTTCGAGGTAACCGGAGTCGACTTCGCAGGGCCGCTGTACGCAAAAAGAAACGACGGTAGCTGCAGCAAAGCGTACATCGTACTTTTCACATGCGCCTCCACTCGAGCAGTTCACCTCGAGCTCTCAACGGGCCTCACTGCTGAAGCTTTCTTGCTTGCATTCCGGCGCTTTATAGCAAGAAGAGGAATACCACTGGACATATATTCTGATAATGCACTAGCCTTCAAGAGAGCATCAAAAGACATCCGGAAGGCATTGGGTGCACTGGAGCAAGAAGTTTTTAAATCATACATTGCAGAGCACAGAATCAACTGGAAGTTCATTGTGGAGGCCGCTCCATGGTGGGGTGGGTGGTGGGAGAGGCTCGTTCGATCTGTCAAGGCAGCACTTAAGAAAGTGTTGGGCAGAAGCAGCCTATGCTTCGAAGCACTGACGACTGTCCTTGCAGAGGTGGAAGCAATGGTAAACTCAAGACCACTGACATATCTCAACTCGGGAGTAGGAGAGCCATCAGTCATCACGCCAGCACATTTCTTAATAAGGCAAAGTTTGACAGTTCTACCAGAAACAAGCTTGTCTAACGACCGCCCAGGATGCGTGACACAGAAGGAAACAACTCGCCAGTTCCAGTATCGAAAAATAATCATGGAACATTTTTGGAAACTCTGGAGGTCTGAGTACCTGTTGGAGTTGCGGTAAGCTCATCAATATCCCGTCACCAATACTTGCTCCTTGAAAGTGGACGACGTAGTCGTAGTGGAAAATAACCGAGCATCCAAGCTGTTCTGGGAACTGGGAAGAATCGTAGAGACGTACCCCGGAACTGACGTAATCGTTCGTGCCTGTCTCGTGAAACAGCAAAACGGTACGCTCATAAAGAGACCCGCGCAGAAACTTTATTTGCCGGAAATTCGTCCAAGTCAACTTCAGGCTCGGGAGGATGTTGCAACCGGGCGATGAGGAAGAAGAGAAGCGGCGTGAGCTCATGCATTTTTGTAATTTTTATCAGTCTGAAAAACGAACAGTAAAGGAAGAGGTCGCACCGACCGATTTGTCTAGCGTAATTGCCTTCGTATTCCTTCGTTCCTCAACAGGAGCGTGAACTCTAAGCGTTAAAAACACCACGCTTAGAACAAGCGTATAAAAAATCCCTTTGCGTCACGCCTGGAAGCGTTAAACCTATGCACAGTTCACGCTTAGGGAGCGTGAATTCTAAGCGTTGAAAAACACCACGCTTAGAACAAACGTGTAAAAAATCGCTTTGCGTCACGCCTGCAAGTGGTAAACCTATGCACAGTTCACGCTGAGGGAGCGTGAACTCTAAGCGTTAAAAACACCACGCTTAGAACAAGCGTGTAAAAAATCCCTTTGCGTCACGCCTGCAAGTGTTAAACCTATGCACAGTTCACGCTTAGGGAGCGTGAGTTCTAAGCGTTGAAAAACACCACGCTTAGAACACGCGTGCAAAAAATCGCTTTGCGTCACGCTTGCTCTGCGTGACCATTTTTAGAGTGTAGGGAGGAATTGGGGATTACAGGGGAGCTTCTCCGTGGAATCTGCTGCATGTCGCCTCTGTTGTGACAGATGTCGTGTTCATTTCGTGACACTCGAAAGTAGCCTTCATGTCTGGCGTGCAGCCGGGGCAGCGAAGCATTGATCTGTCCCTCGGTGTTTTGGTAGCACAAACTCGGCCGGACCCAAAACCTGCACCTTCATTCCTTCAGAGTGCGTGATCGTCCTCCCCCTACTGCCCCCATCCCCCCAACCCAAGGCTGACATCGGGGCTCCTTCAACTGCTGAGTCCGGCCTCCCCAAAAGACGACAACTGCGTCAAGTTGCCCACCGACCCGCATGGAGAGAAGCCACGCCGTTTGTCCCAGCAGACTGTGAGCCCGTATCCAACAACTGATGTGCCACGTCCCGTGTCCATAGTATCAACCCCAACGGGTGAGCAGTCACTTTGCATCTTTAGTAGGACAATAAAAAGTCCATGAATGAGTCCGAAGTTCGCGGTGCTTCTTCTCTTCTCCACCTCAAAAGCGACCTTAAGGATAGTTGATTCGCCACCCCCGGTTACGGCAATCATACGGATTAGAATGTCGCGGGCGGCGGGCGGTCTTTTTTAAGGATTAGCCAACACCCACGACGGGCACCTTACGCCCAACTACGAAAACTACTACATGTCAACAACGACAAAATCAACGATGGACGTCATTTCAAGTGGTGGAAAGAATCCATTATGGCTATTGCTGTAATAACGGCATTGAAACATATCTCTGATACTTGCTTCCTGTATTGCAATAATGTCCTTTCCGTTTGCAGAAAGAAGCCTGAGGTAATACGGAGAACAACTTTGTCTGCTTCATGCACAGGAGTTGCGAGGGTGTCAGAACGCCGAGCTCTTATTGGGCTGTTTGGAAGAAAAAAAAATAGTGCGTGGACATCATGGCATATAAGCATTGAGGTCTACCACTATCTTTTCAATCAAAGTCAATTTAAACTCGGAGTCGTTGTGACGTCACTTCAACTGCCGCGCAAAAAGCAGACGACTTGCTTTGCTCATAGCCTCCGAAGGCGTGTGCCAAGCGTTTCTAAGTGCTCGGTTGGGTTCACGTCGTTTATGGGCTGCGTTTGCAATACCAGTTGCGAGAGGGTGAGGAAGGCGTTGGTCGTCAGCAAACGTATCCGCCTTTCCGCCTGCATTTCTCCTTTCAGCGCAAAAAAACGCAGAGCATGCGCACTTGCTACCAATCTTCGGAGAACGCGTCTGCCATGGACCCTCCCTTCTATATATAGGCTCCTGAGCCTCCCCTCGAAACCTACCCCGGCAACATAGATGTCCACAGATTTCAATTCGTGCACCGCATCTGATCTTTTCTCCCTTAAACTAAACCAAACACGCAATTCCTTTCCGACGAAGCCTATAGACCGACACACGGAGCCGCTCAGTCTACCAACACGGCCGGAAGACCGCGCATGCGCGGAAGCTACGTGGGCAAAAGCGGCCCGCTCTCCGTGTTTTCGCCATTACGTTGTATGGCGTGCGGTCCTTCTTGACGTTGTAGGGACGCTTCTAGCTTTATCTGTGCGTCGTATATCCTGACAACGTATGTCGTTTGCTATGCCCGAGTATTTGAGCTCGCTGCCCGAGCCCGAACGGTAGCGGTATCGAAACAAACTGTGCGCGGACAGCGTTGCCTTCAAAGATCCGTGCGCCGCAAACAAGGCCTGCTGGACTTCCGACATGAAGTTGCTGCCACCTAAGTCGACGGCTCATTTCGTCGTTTATTAAGTTTTTTCGCCAAGCTAGTTCACGGCCGGCACGGTGCAGGCCTACAAGTCTCTCAAGGCCTACAATTACTTCGAGTCGGTTTCCGTACTGCCGGCGGAATCAGCAAACTGTGGGTCTGCGGAAGTGTATTTAGTAATTGATTAAATACAGACAGTGTCTTCGAGTCAAGGTATGATATTTTTCCTACCCTCGTGACAACAAGGCATGACAAGCAGTAATACTTTGTCCGTACTGCTTTCTTGGCGGTAACACATTACAAGTAATGGCGTTACCATGAACGCGTTACTTACTTCAGTAACGTAGTAACCTAAGCCTTACTTTTTCGACATTGTAACGGGTAACGTACTCACGTTACTCGTCACTACTTCCCAAGTCTTAAAGAAATTACACTACGAATTTTTCCGTGTTTTTAGGCGTCAAACATGTGAATTTCTGAGTTTTCTGCGTTTTTGCTAGTGAGTATTTGAGTGAAAGCCTAGAAAGAGATAAGGTAATTACGTTCAGTTTCTGCATGAACATAATGTTTTTTTTTTTATATATGAGCTCATGCATACTTGTATCGTCAAAACAGTAAAACGTTTTAAATCATAATTTAAAAAAGTAACGCAGAAGTAATGTGCGTTACATTTTATCGGTAGCGGTAACGCGTTCCTTTTATTTTTAGGTAACGAAGCTCAGTAACGCGTACCTTTTATTCGCAAGTAACGATTAACGTATCTCGTTACTTTGTTTCGGTAACGCCTACAACACGGCCGTTCTGTCGCCAATCCCCTTCTGCTTGGTAGCACGAGAGTAGCAAGCCTCCGACGAGCGTTTGGCCGGTGCTTCGTGCTCGAACACCGTGGGAACAAAATCCGGGTGGTCTGGATCAGACGACGGTTTCCCTGCTCATAAGCAAGCCTCGGGACGGAGATTGCAATGGAACCCGCACTTGCCTTCAAGAAAGTGCTTGCCGCACAAACGGTCGTTCGCGCGAGGCTACCATTCTTTTCGATCCATGAATAGTTTTAACCTTATGTGCCTTTTAAAGTCAGGCGGGAAGTTGTGAAAACACAATCCGCTACTTCTTTTTTTTTTTTTTTTTTTTTTTTTTTTTTTTTACCTTTTGGTGCAATGAACGGCAACACAGCTCCGCGGCATGCTGAAAGGCTGTGACGCCCATACAAAACGTGCGCCCTTCTGGCGACACCATCCGGCTCCCGCACGATCGCAGCGCCGCCGCAGCTTCGTGACGTCAAGCCCGTGTGTAGGTCTACAAGGCGAATAGAACAAAGCTCGGGTGTTTATGTCCCGAGGCCGGGGATAGCTTGGACAACTGGTCGCCAGGCTATGTGGGCGCTGTCCGCGCGAAGACAAAAAAACGTAGTGTAAAAGAGAACAATCTTATAGAAAATGTTGATTTAATCACGAGAGGAGCTTCGCACCCATGGATTTACGTAGTGATACTTTTGTAGAAACAAAAAAACAAATTGTGTTTACCAAAGCCCCGTCGGATCCAGCGAGGGCTGTTGATCTGGGATAATCCGCTTTGAAGAGAAGA